GTGTGTTACGTTTTTTTTCTCATTCTTACATTGTAACCATTCCGGTATATTTCTCTGATTGATTTATATATTATATTATATATAGATAGATAGAGTAGATAGATAGATTAGATAGATAGATAGATAGATAGATAGATAGATGTTTCGAGGGATAGAATATACTTTATTTATCCTCCGAAGGGATAATTCTTAATGTTTATATGCATGCTTGATTAAGAGATCAATTATTATTAGAATAGTCTTATTGATCAGGGATGAATAGTCTGTTTGGGCTGAAGCTGTCTTTAGGCTGTGTCCATGTGTTGTGGGGGTGGGGAGGGATTGTCATCGATTTGCCATGCAGTTGTTTTGCCAGGATCCTCTCCTTCCATCCACGCCTCCTTCCAGGGTGACATAGCATTAGAGCCTAACGGACAGCTCGGCCTCTTAAATGATTTTGTTCCGTCTGTGGCGTCCTTTTGCCTTGAAGTGGCCCCGCACCCCAGGATCACCGCCTAGCAATCGAATATGGTTGCTCGCACCAACAGATCTGATGAAAACAAATTCGTTGTCCAGACATTAAAGACTGAGCCTCCTCAGGATAGTAAACGCTCAGGCCCTTCTTGTAGCATGTCCTCTGAGTTTGTGGGACCAGTCAGTTTGTTGTCCAGTGTGACACTCCAAGTTACTTATACGTCGACACATATCCACATTCGGGTCCACAGGATGCTGACAGGAGAGGAGCAGGGCTTGTTCCTCCTTAAGTCCACCACCATCTCCTTTGTCTTTGCCATCGTTCAGCTGCAGGTGGTCTCCCCACACCATCTTCACAAAGCCGATCAACCAGGTCTCTGTACTCAGCCCTCCCCGTCTGCCCTCCAGCACACCCACAATGGCCGGGTCATCAGGGTAGTATTTCTGCAGATGACACGACTCAGTGCAGTACTTTAAATTCTGTACTGTATGGTGGTGAAGATATGGAAGGGAGACAGTTACAGTTACCTGGGGGGCCGATGTTACTAAATCAGACGGGTCAGGACAACACAGTTACTTTAATCTCACCAAACTGCGGTCCTGCCCGTCAGATAAGTCATCCCACCCATGGTGATGAGAGGGCACCCACCTCCACCCCATTCTATTGGGGTGACTGGATTATGCGGACTTGCAGGGGGTTTGTGCTGATGGGCACTACTTAATGGTCTGATGGTGTAGCCAGGACCAGGTCTCTCCTTTGACCTTTTCATTGAATTGTGAGAGGTTCAGAGCTTACCAGCCTGTAAGTTCCTCCTAGTTGTTCATCAGGACGTCCTTTTTTTGGGACTGGGACCTATGCAGGGATGTTTTCCAGAGACTTGGCATCTCTGGAAGGTGCAGACTCATGGTTGAAGGTATGCTCTCTCCTCACTTGGCTGAACTGTGATATGTCTGCTGCAGGAGGTGATATTGGGATGTGGGGGCTGTGGGATTGTCCTGGGGTTGTTGCTCAGGAGGGAGAGTAGATGGGGCTGCCAGTGGGTTGGGGTGATCTGAATGAGGGTTGTTTATGGCTACCATGTTTCACTAACCATCATGTCCTTCTTCATATTCAGTCATGGAATTATGCTATGACATGTCATCTGGCCATTGCCCATCATAGACTTTCTACGTATATTCTTTGTGTAGTTGTTCCTCAGTGGGAACAGTCTAGTCCTCTGTACTTTTTTATTATTTTAAAATGAGACCAGGAGCCTGCCATGTTACGTGTGCTGTATTTGAATTATTTCCTATGGTCCCAAGCCGTGCATATGCGTGATTCTTTTTTGTTTCAATTACTTGCCATGTGCCAAAAATAGTGATTTCATTGTTGATTTTTCTTGACTTGCTGCTTGTCTTGCTCAGTGTTCTTTTTTGACGCGTATGGTAAAAGAAATGAAATGCTCAGTTTGGAGGTTTTCTGGCTATAATAGGATGGGCAGCCCACGGACTGACGGGTGAAGGTAGAAGCTCGGACGATTTGTGTTGGATGAAGTGAATTTACAAGGTCATCGCTGTGGATGAATAAGAGGAGCATTAGATTTATATTATGTTATCAGATTTGTTAGTGTATTCTTTGATTGGCGCCTTTAAATAAAATGTATTACTATTACAATATTAATAGATGAATCAAATCAGTCATACTGGGATTCTGTAAGTAATAGTTAGTGTTAGTGTAGGGTGACTCCGTTTAGTCACCACGGCAACTGGTAAACTAGCTTGTGAGACGAGACGAGGTTGTCGCTGTCCCTTTAAGGCGACTCTGACGTTTATGTGTACTCTACTATCATTGGCTGGCTGACTTCCGCTTGGGTTTCCTGTGCAGGGAAGACAAGCATGGCAGGACAGCTGTGGAACAGAGTAAACATCCCCTTCCCCAGTGCCGTTTCTTGTGTCCGTGCACCTTTCAGCTCAGCTACAGGTACGGTTCGTTCATCGGATGCTGTTAGATAAACGTGTCGACTCTGCTAAAAGTCTCTGGGGCAAGATTACAGTGTCTATGCCGCTTGCCACCCACGTGGGAGGGCATGTATAGACACCCCCTGCAGTGTTGATGCTGTACTGTATCGTTGGATATACTGGGATGTTTGAACGCTGTTGCTGTTCTGCAGATGCAGTTGTTAAAGCCCTCTTGGCGGGAAACGACACGGTGCTGAGTCTAATTCGGAGTGAGATTCTGCAAACGGAGATCCGAGTTCTGTACGAGCTGCTGTACATCCTAAACAACAGCTCCAGAGGCAACAAGACGTTCAAAGGCTTAAAGCAGGTGAGGACTGTGGATAAAGCGTCCGAATCTGCCCACGGACAGAGAAACATGCAGGTCATACAGGATCGTCTGTGTGTTAAACAGAAATGTTCCAGAAGTAGAGTTTACCTCACTAACTACACCTTCACTCATCTGCACCTTGCATGTCTCTCTCAGGTTGAACAATGCATAAACAGACTGAAGAGCATGAAGCTTGATGATGCTCTTCAGGAGCTGGCAGAGCTGTGTCCCAGCAGGATTCAAAGGTTGGTAGGTTGGTAGTGATGGTCTGTTTCTGACAGCTATCTACAGGCCAGCATCAAACACAGCTTTTGCTGTTCATGACATACATTGTATGTGAAAGCTGGTATAAATTAAATGCAGTGAGGTAAAACAAAGCACTTAAGCCTGATTGTGTTTCAAATTGATAATGCTTTTGAAGCTTTTTTTTTTTATCAAGGACTTATTTGCCTGTTATTGAAGAGGCACATTTTTTTTAGTATTAACAGGCATTTTTTCCTTGTTAAAGCACTTCTCCGAGGGGTTTTTATTTTTATTATTATGTGGTTGTGTACTGGTTCTCAGGCTCTTTTTCTGTTGAGACTTGTGCAGTCAGTACCGCCACAGACCAATAATGTCTCGATGAGCTCAGGCACCGATCTTTCTCATCAAGTCAGGCTATTTTTTGAATTTGTGGGTTTTGTGTGGTACACTAAGATTTATGGGAAAAGGTCCCTTTTAAAAAATATGTGCTTTTATTTGTTTTAGTTTAATTTTCCCAAGTGTCTTATGTATTGAGGAGAAAAGCAGTTAATTCATTATTGATTTTAATGTTGGAAGTTGTTTATTCACTGTAATGAGATGTGTGTGTGTGTGTGTCATTTGTGTGTTTTAGAGCCCTGAGCATCAAGGCTGGTGAGTGTGATGTTCCCAGTCAACCCCTGCTGGAGTGGCTCTGTCTCAAGGTGCTGGGAGCTGCACAGCTAATGAGCTGCACATTGAATCGCTGCAGCAGAGCTTTCTTGTATCCTTTTCAGAGCACTGTTCTGAAACATGAAGAGTCATCTGAAAGATATCTCTGAAGGTCTGATATTTCTTTGCAAATGCAGATTTAAGTTTGACAATCTTGGCCTTCTTGATGTCACCTCATGGTTTTGCCCTTAAGATATGTTTGCTTCAGACTCTCAAAGCAGCAGATGAAATGGGAGGAGTTTGTCATCTTGAATATGGTGATAACCAGCATGCTCAGTCGTCTCTGGTGAGTGCTCTTCCTTATTGTCACATCTAAAAAGGCTGAGAAATGCAAGAAGATGCGGAATTAAAATCTGTATTAGAAATAGTTTGATTTGTATTCGCTTGGCTTCGTCTAAACCTACCTGCCTTTGTGCTCACTCAGGGTGATTTGCCGTGGTATCCTGGTCAGCCTGCACCCTCTGTATCAGCAGCTCCTGGAGCTCCTCAGAGAAGTATCCAAGGCCCAGCCCATGCCTTTCCTTACAGACATCTCCCTGCCAGCAAATATGACTCAGTTCCTCAGTCCCTCTGATGTATTTTTACTGACTAAGCGGTCAACACACATTTCCTATACCAAAGAGTGCAAGGAGAAGCAGCAGGGGAGGAAGAAATCTTCTGTTAAAGTCAAGAACCAGCGACAGGCGAGGAAGGTTAAAGAAGACCTGGGTGTTGCTGTTGAAAGAGGTGTGGAGCTTTTCCATTTCATTTTATTCTCTGCCTACTTTGTCACATTCAGTGCCCTTTTGATTAATACAGTACACCAGGAAAAGTAATGTAACATGCGAAACGCTTGCATATATTTATGCCTATTTTACATAACCTGTGTCTGAACCTTTATTTAACCCATTGACATGAAACTGACATGAGTATAGGTAGAATTTCCTGCTTGTGTGAAATATTATTTTAATCTTACAGGTTGGAATAGAACTGTAATTGTAAAGCAGTTTCTTCTTTCCAAACCTTGAAACATGCACACACATATTGCACAGTACACTTTTTTTGAGGTTATCTTGTGCTACATGATGGTTGTTTACCAGCTGCTGGTAGTTTATAAAATAATCTTCAAGGTAGCTTTATTTAAATGGCAGCAGATGATTCTGGTGAAAAGAAAAACTGTTTTAATCTAATCTAAATAGCATGCACAGAGAACCAGCACTGACATTACTATTGTTATTTTTTTTCCAGGTATAGTTCTTGACACTGACCTGAAGCCTTTTCTCAAAGTTTTCAAGAACTTGACAGAGGTATGTAAAAAAAAAAAAAAAGAGATGAAATGTTTACTAATCCTTTTTATTATTTAAGTTCAAGTTGTCACCTAATTGTCTCATCTGATCGTTACATCCTTTTGGTACCAAAGGGCAAATCCTTCCCAGGGGAAACGCACAAGGCTGACGAGAAACAGAAGTTCAAGAAACAAGTGAGAGAGGCTGCTACTTTCTCAGACATGGCAACCCATCTTGAAGAAATGATCGAATGGTGCAAATCCCAGAAAATGGAAAAGGAAAAACGCTTCTTAACCTTCTTGCGTTTGAAGTGCCAAAGGATGAAAGGCCTAGAGGCAGCAGGCTACAAGTAAGAGCAAGACTGCGGAATACATACTGAGAGGACTTTTGCAATTCAATACAATAGCTCTGCCAAAACTTTTACCTTTTACAAAGTTTATAATGTTCACTTTCTGCTGACTTTGTTGCAATGTGCCTTAAACAATGGCCACTCTGTGTAGAGTTGTTGACAGTTGCTACTAATACTAATTGTCCATTTGTTTCCCTAGTGTCCAGAGGAAGTTGCAGACCTTCAGACAGGAAGCTCGCTGGGCTTTATCTCCTCCAGGGTCAGTGCCAAGAACCTGTCAGTCTTCTGCTGCAATGAGGAGAAACGCTCACCTGAGAACTCGTTTTCATTCACTCAGGAGTCGATTTAAGTTGTCAGCCGTCAGAGCTAGTGTCAAAAAGAAACAGCTGAAGCGACAAAGGAAGAGGACTGAGTCATCAGTGTCTGGACTGTCAGGGGACAATCAACGCAACAGGACCACATACGAGGCAACATTTCAGACCACCGACTGTGACGGCAGTGATGACATAGATGATATATTTGCCTCAGTAGGTTTGTGACACTTTGGAAATAGACACGTCCAAAGAAACAAACTACTGAATGCTGTGGGGCTCAGTATATGACACATCTGCTTTCAAAAAAAGAGGCTTGGATGGAATTTAAAAATTGATGATTGGACAATGGTTTAATGTTATACAAATGCTAAACAGCAGCAGATGATTGCACAGTGTACTACTGTATTTGACACCAAGCTGAAAAAGCCTTGTTTTATTGACTTCTTCTGGTTTAAAATTTAGAGTCTCTTGCACCTTTGACCACACAAAGCACCACAGGGGAATCTCAGGATGCACTGGTCTAAGAACTGCAATCCCTAGTGGTCATTTAAAAAAGATTTCAACTGGTGTGAACGTAATGTTAAAGGTGATGTTTAAAGGGGATTTCTTTTTTGGCATTTTAGCCTTTATTGGATAGGACACTTACCAGGCAAAGACCTGTTCCATTAACACAGTTATGCATAGTTACTCACACCATTTCAAACTTGTATTGTTCCTGCATAATTTTATGGTGTTGAACACCAAATGAGGCTTTAGCCTCTTTCAGACACTCACTCCCCTGCTGGCTACAGCACGCACACTGTGAAATACAATTATTAGAGCTATTAAGTCCACCCTGTTAAGACAGCACCACAGTGTAATAACATACCATTTCTTATGGACAACGAAATAAAATCAGTGTATTGAACCATGTAATACTCCAAATTAACCTATTTTAAGTGGTAAAAGCCATCAATGTGACAGATTCTGTGTTCATAAGGAGCTTTTGAGATACCGTTTGAGGAGCAGCCTATTAAAGTCCTGAAGGTATTTGTAGCTCCACTTGGTGGAGTTAATAAGTCAGTGCATTGGTGATTAATTCCAGGTTGGTGATTGTTCTCAGATTATTAAATGAATCCCTCAACCTTGTTAAATGTAAAGCCCCTGGCAGAGGCAGTGTGAAAGCAGAGGTGTCATTCTTCTTTCCTATGATTGAGTCTGTGGCTACAGAGTGCTCGTATGAACAGAGATCACACTGGCAGTGAAATGTATTAGTAAGATAGGGTGGCCTCAGCTCTAGGTCTTTCAAGTCTAGTATAGAAACTTTGCAGGTGTCTGGCAGTCCATTTAGACAAACAAAGAGTGGAGGCTGTGCACCAAATTAGAAGCTAAAGGGTTAGTTTTGTTGCAGCCTGTGTTTTTGCTGCCCACTTTCTTATCCTCTGCCAAAGAAGACACAGTCCTCCCATCTGCACAAATACAACGGTGCAGTTTTCTTCCCCCTCACTGAGCCTGCCTGGGTTGAGTTATGGTCTCACATCAGCCCACCAGTTTTATTTGTTCAAATACGTCTACAGATTCTTGATTCCTGTGCTTTATCTTAAACCAGTTAGTCAAGGTCAACTTTTGTTCTCGCCTGCAGTGAAGGAAAGGAGCTGAGGAAAAGCCTTGAATGTCTGCATTCTGCATACATGTGCACATAGGAAGTCAGACCATTTTCTTATCTGCATGTTGGAGTTGAAGTGACTAGGGGGGGGGTATTCACAGCAGCAAAACCTTAATTTAAGGACATTTTTTACCTTTTTTTAGACTGCATTGTTCATGCAATGCACAAAGAATGACTTCGACCTTGCTGCTTTTTAATTAAGAAATACAAAATAAAGTGCATAAACTCAATACAGCATGAATTGGAAGCATGTGTCCGTGGCTCATTCTGTACTGACTGTATAATGTCACCAACTTCCCAATATACAGAGTGTATCTCTGAGCTGACTGTGATTAGGTGATTAAGATGTGTTTACATTAACTGATCTTGTCCTCCTTTACCTTATCCTAAGTCACTTATTAATTTATATAATACTTAGGGACTACAATTTGTTGTCTGTAAACAGTAATACTATTTTAAATGTTAAAATGTAGCTGTCAGTAATTACAGAAAACATGAGTGACTAAAAATAATCAACTAGACAGTAATTAAAAACTCAACCCAGTTACAGAACTGGTAGGCCAATTTCTGCAATAGCTTCACTCTGGTTGATGTCTTTTTTCACCGGTACACCTTTAGAACCTGCATCATAATCTGGCTGGGGCAGCAAGTCTTCAGCACTGTCTGCAGCCTCAGCTAAGGGTAGGGAGGCTATAGATTGCGGGGCACCCTGTCTGTCTAACTTTGTTAACCAAGCTGTATTTAATAGCATATAATTGGAAATAGATAGTTCCACATGGTTGGGTTCAGTGCTGGAATGTTGTTGTTGGAGTAGGAGGTTCTCCAGGGATTCTGCAAATGCATCATTTATGGCCTGTGGGCATATTATGACCTAAAACAGGAGAAAAAATATAAAGGTCTGCACTCCCAATATGCTGTTCTTCAATTTATTTCCCTGCCACCTTAATATCAGCGGGGGAATAGAGCAAGTTTCAGGTCTCAGCTTTTGCATGGCATGGCACGAAGGAATTCTCAACATTTATACTCGGAGGTGTATTAAATCAATCACATCATTACGTCCACAGAGACACAAAAAGCGAAGTAGAGCCACAGAGGCTGAACTAGTGCATCATGCTCTTTTAAGGCAGATCATAACTCAGCCTAGTTTACAATAGCTCAATGATGTAAAGCATACATTTATACCAAGGCCATGAATAAAGTGGGAAAAGCAAGTAAAGCAAACGTCCAAGGTTGAAAAGCTCATTAAGGCCAGAGGGGGACAGTGAATATAAACAGTGCAGCCAGTGCAATATTTTTGTAGTGTCTCCCCCTCATCCATAGGGGCTTTCAATCCCACTGCGTTAATGAGTTCAATATTATGATTATGCCTAGAAATAGGAAATGCAAGCAGATTTTTTGCTTACTAATCCCATTGTTAACGGAGTTCAAATTTCCTCATGAAGTGGATTTTGTTTTTTATATTCAGACTGGGAGGAAATATAACTTTCTTCTATAAATCTTTAATAACTTGGTTTCATCAAGAGAGTGGTGTATGCTCTTTTAATGTCTGTGTCCAAGAATATATGTTAGACAATCCTCTAGAGCATAAAGTTCCCTTCATCAGTGCCATGCTGTACTAGAGGGCTGAGACCTGGAACATAGTGTATGTATGCGCTCTATTCCCCTGCTGTAATTAAGATGGAAAGGGAATAAAGTAAAGAAAAGGGGAATCCACACCTTTATATTTTTCATACGTGTACATATCTGTGCTAACAAAATCTGTTGGGAGAGTATGATGAATAGGACTTTAAAAAGCCCCCAGCTGTACCTTTGCCATCTCTCCATTTACTTTATGTACTCACTTATTCTCATTCAGGGTCATAGAGGGCACTATTGTTACACATTAAAATTGCACTGCCTGTACTGTTGCACATTTTAGCTCAATTTTAAACATAAATTGTATTAGGACATCATCTATTGTATTATCATAAAAGTGACTTTGGCTTCTTAGTTTTACTAAAACTAAAAACTTAACCATTTGTTTTCTCTGGCAAAAACAAATAAAATATAAATTACAAATACATATATCCCATAATATGTTAGTATTCTGGAGATTTTCACTATTGTAGTACAGAGGAGTGCACAAACTTTTATTGGCATATTTGAAATTGGACTCAGATGAGTGTTACAGGTTACTAGTGTTAATGTTTAGCCAAAGATTGAAGTTCATTGGTTTAACCATTATTATATTGTTAAAGGCAATAGCAGTGGTTTTACAGCCACTACAGAATACTTCTTAACATCACAACTCACCATTTTACTGTGGTACCGAGTTTTGGAAATGTAGTTGTTTATTGTACAATTCAATCATCCATTCATTTCAATGCAATTTTAAAATCTAGTCGCACACTTGTGAAACATGCTCTAGTTAAGAAGTTAAAAGGTGCAACAATTTGCCAATTAATCAATACGTTGATTGACAGAAAATTTAATCAATTTAGATTATCAATCAAGTTTTTAAGCAGAAATTGCAAAAATAAATGTGTTTTTCTTAGACTGCTATGATAGCAACCTGAATATATTGGTGAGACAAAACAAGTTAATTGAAAACGAAATTGAAAAAGGCTCAAGAACTTGATGAGCACTTTTTCACATTTTGATAACTTTTTAAAGACCAAACAGAATAAATCAAGAAACAATCAGTAAATGAATACAAGATAATACAATATAATCTAGTTCTCTGCATTAATTTTTGTCTATGTTACATTGAGCAGTCAGTGGCTGCCTGGAACTGTAGGCAACATTAAGTAAGAACATTAAAGGAATCTGAAACAATATAAACAGCATCAGCAAAATAAAAATACTTAATGTGTAGTCATGAGTAGTTAAGAGCTAAAACAAACTGATATTAGATTAGATTCAGCTTCATTGTCATTGCACAAAGTACAAGTACTAAAACAACGAAATGTAGTTAAGCATCTAACCAGAAGTGCAAAAAGCAGTAAAGTGCAGAGTAATGTGAATGTGTACAGGGATATTAAAAAAATAACATATAATATATTATAAGAGTTCGTATTCCCACATCCTTCAAACGGAATACGAGCTCTTGCCTTCTGGCAGAAGGTACAGAATCCCAAAAAGCAAATTGAACTGTTTTAAATACTCTTTCGTACCTACCTCCATCAA